TTAATAAGCATTGAGTGGAGTCATAGGGCAAGCGGAAAGCTTCTAGGGTCAGAATAAGCCTCGGAGGAATAAGGGAGGCTCCAGAGATAGGGGCAGCAAATTCCAAAGGGGACTAACCAGATAGTCCCTGGACTAAGGGCAGTGAAGGATTAACAAGACATTGCTGGACAAGGATGATAAAGGACTCTAAGATACGGGCTGGGACGCGAGACTTAATTCTGGGCACAAAGACATTGAGGCAGTGAGTGAGACCACCAAGAACCAACCAGTAAGAGAGAGACTGGTGGAGCTTTAGAATAATTAGGAAAGAAGGTCTATATTCCCTGAAGCACGACTCCATTTTGACATCCTTGCCCCCTCTGGCCTGGTGCCTTGGGCCTGCGAGTCCCACTTTATTTCTGTTCCTTTCCTCCCTACTAAACTTTTCCTTTCTCTAAATAAATCTGCCTCTTTTCTCTTGCTTGCCTGAGTGCCAGCGAAGTTCCTGCTGCAGCTTCGTGAGACACCAACCCGTGGTGGTCTAGTGGCTGGGACTCAGTGCTGCCACTGCAGCCTGGGATGGATTCCTGGCTGGGAGACTAGGCCTGAAATTATAGTAACAGAATGTTAACTTTGTACTACCAAACACTCCCCTGGACATAAAGACGGAAGGGATGTGAATGAATAAGATACCATTGTAGATTTTGACTAGAAAATCAACCTGTCAAGCCAAGCTGTGTGTGGAAGGCCCAGCTTTGAGAGAAAGAATCCCTCTGGTCAAGTGTTTGTTCTATACACACACACCCCTGGGAAACTGAGTTCCTTAGGAACTTCAGACACCAGCTCCTCCAGGCAGCTGTTTCTTTTATTACTCAATTATCGCTGAAAAGCCATAGTATTCAAGGGACTAGAATAAAATGGTACACAGCCAGTGTCTCAGCCCTGGATAGACAGCCCAATCACCTGGGAAGCTTTAAAGAGACTTCCTACCTGGGTCCTAAGCCAGGACAGTTGCACCAGATTTTCTGGGGCTGTGACCTGGGCAATGAGATTCTCCCCCAAGGTCCCAAAGTGCTTCCAATACTGACCCTCAGAGAACCACGGGTCTTGGTGGTCAGGAAGTCACATGCTTTTGCTACCTGCCTGATGTCTTTCCTCTGCCCCCCACCCTCCCAGCTTCCAAGCCCAGTGGTGGGTTGATAAGTAGTCCGGGGCTGTTACACCATCCCAGATTTCCTCTTCCCCCTTTGCCAGTTGCAGGGCCTGAGTGGCAGGTGGTGCTAACAATGGTGGGGGAGGAGGTGGGTGAATCATGTGTGGGTCACATACAGTCATGTGGTGGAACCAGGAGAAGGGCACAGGCTCCCTCACTCAGGATGTGGGGGTGAGATCAGGGATGTGTCAACCAAGAGAAGAATTTTGTCAGAGTTTCTTAGAAGAGTAACCGGAGCTTTGTTCCTTTCATTTCCTCTTCCCCCTCCCAGTGGCTCCAAATCTACAGAAAGACCTGAAGTCAGAAAAGGACATTCAAGGGCCAGGTTTATTTTTAAACTGGGTAGCACCCAAAAGCACAGTGAGAATCTGATAAAATATGATGGTCTTCCCAGAAGAATGTGTATATATATATATATACACACAATTTTGCATATGACTTTTGGCGTGCAAGGGACCAGCCACTCCAGCTGTCACCCATGGAGAAAAGGTCAACTGCCTCTAAACAGGGGTCCCAGGTTAATCAGATGCAGGCTGGAGCAGGAAGGACCGGGGCAGCTTCGCCGAGAGAACCAGATGCTGTCTTGCAGATGAGAACAAAACAAGCTGCTATTTATCCTCACATGGAAGGAATTTTTAGTTTTACCTACATGTATTAATTCAGTGTTCTCAAATTTCAGGGAGCATCAGAATTTCCTGGAGGGCTTGTTAAAACACAGATTACTGGGTCTCACCTCAGAATTTCTGACTCAGGAGATCTGAAATGGAGCCAGATAATTTGCAATTCTAAAAAAAGTTCCCCATTGAAGCCAAAGCTGCTGGTCTGGAACCAAACTCTGAGACCCACTCATCTAATTATTTACCTCAGTTCATTTTCCAGGCACAGGTCTCGTGACTGGCTAACAAGCTGGGTTTGAGTCAGAGTTAATGGTTGACCACATCATTGTCAGGGTGTGCATTCTGCTGAAAGCAGCCATCAGTTCTTGGCTTCATAAGAACTCAGCTCCTTTTTTTTTTATGCTTCATTTTTTTTTTTTTCACATTAGCATGATAGTGCTCTATGGCACCTTGTTGGGACCCAGCAAAGTGAAAGTGCTGGGAATAAATGTGTCTCCACTTTGCACAGAATATTCCACTTTTAAGATCACCTTAAGAACACAAAACCTTTTTGTGGTCTCAGTTCAGCCGGAGTTCTCCTGTTCTTTGCATTGCCATAGTGGCCCATATTTTAAGAAAAAAAACCTAAAGTGTTTCAGATGCAAAGAGCGAGTCCACTTGCTTTTATGTAAAAACCTCCCACCATTAGGGGACCCATGGGCCAGTGTGGATAGACTTCTGGGCTTGCTGCTGTGGCAGGTAGAACCTCGCAGCTGTAAAAGGCAGAGGGGCAATTTCTAATTGTTGAGTTTAATGTGGATGAGGTTTCCTCTGGTTGCAGGTGGAACTGGGTTTTGTTGTTGAAACTGATATTCTTGGACAGTGATACTCAAATTTCACTGCACACATAATCACCTGGGAACTTGTTTAAATGTTGATGCTGCCTGAGTAGGTTGAGAGGGGGCCCAGAGTCTGTTTCCAGCAAGCTCCTGGGTGATGCTGGTGCTCCCCTTGACAGTGGACAACCTCCTCATCTACTCGGAATAAGGTTTTATGAGATGTCCGTCCGTTAGCACACTCCTAGGTAAAGGGAATCTTCCTAATACACAGATGAAGTGAAGTGTAAGGGGACAAGTGAAAAGCCCGAATAATGGCAACTTGGGATAGAAGGAGCAGTGGGGGGGGTGTGAGAAATGGGTGGGTTATGGATATACTTTGCAGGTAGTCAGTGGGATTTGCTGACAGATTGGGTGTGAGGTACAAGAGAGGAGTAAAGGACCACTCCAAGGCTTTTGACCTGAACAGCTGGAATTGTACAGCTGCCATCAAGTGAGCTGGGGAAGGCTGTAGGTGAAGCAGGCATGGAGGGGAAGACCAGGACCTCAGTTTGGAATATAATAACTTTGAGACATTCTATTAGACATCCAAGTGGAGATGTAAAGCAAACAGCTGGGTTTATGAGTGGGAGAGAGTTTCAAGCTGGAGTCAGCAGCACATAAAACACATCTAAGTCTCAAGACTGGATGAGATCATCAGGAAAGGGATTTAGGTAGTTAAGGAGATCAAGGATCTGGGTGCTCCAGTTGCAAGCTAGTTGGAAGAGGAGAAAGCAAGCAGCAAGGGAGTGACTGTTGTAGAAAGAGGGAAACCAAGAGGTGGCAGCATATAAGCAGCCAACTACCAAAGAGGGGGTGACTGATTGTATCAATGCTGCAGAAGATCAAATGTGAGAAGGCTGAGAACCAACCATTGAATTCAGCAGGACAGAAGCCACTGGTGACCTTAAGAAGGGTGGTGGTAGTAGAGGGATGGGCGAATGCTTATTTGGAGCAGTTTAAGTGAAAGGAGCAAGAGGAATTTATGACAGTGAGTACAGATTACTCTTTTAAGATGGTTAGCTACAAATGACAGCAGAGAAGCAGGGCATCTAACAAAGGAAATGGTCAAAGGAAAGTTTTGTTCTTTTATTTAGATGGGAAAGACCCTGTAGAGAGAGCTTCTCAGGCAGGAGGGGGTGCAGGTGCTGGATGTGTCCTAGAGCCTAAGAGAAGGGACTGGCTCTAGCCAGGAGCAGGGGTGGCTCATGTTGGGGAGTCAGAAAGGCAGAGGATGTGGATACAGATTCAGGTGGGTGGCTAGAGGCCATGGAGGGAGTTTGGAAGTAAAAGGTCACCTGGTTCAACTTTCTCAGTGTAGGAGGGAGCTTTGGTGGAGCGCGAGGGAGATTTGACACACAAGTTGGAAGAGGCAAGGAGTAGGTTCTCCCCTCCAGGAGCGAGTGCAGTTCTGCCTACACCCTGCCTTCAGTCACTTGAGACTCAGTTGGCCTTGCACTCCCCAGAATGGAGACAATAAACTTCCATTTTACTCTACTGTGGTAATTTGTTACAACAGTCCCAGAAAACTAATACAGGACTAAAGGAAAACTGATTATGAGAAATGCCTTGCCCTGTTTACCACCATATACCTCACACCCAGCCTGATGCCTGACACATGGCAGGGCTCAACAGACATTTGCAGAATGAATACATGGCCAGACGGCCAGGCCTGGGCCGGCCATGTCACTTCTTCCCCTGCAGTCTGCATCTGACCTTCGCTCCCAGCCTAGAGGAAGCGAGAAGCAGCTCTAGTGCCCAGGTTTACATGTTTCAACTACTGTCACCATAAGGGATACTAAGAGGGAGATTTGATCTTTTTTTCTCTGGACAAAGGGCCTAGAGAGGCTCAGCTTGATCAGGTACCCACCAGGTTCCACTAATAGGAAAATAAAATCACCTCATAGAACAGGATGGGAGCATGGGGCAGTGCACAAGAAAAGCAGCATCATCCAACAGGTGTCCTTTACAAAGAGCATTCTGAGTTCCTTGCCATGTACCCCGACACTTACCCTCAGTTCTCAGTCCACTTAGGAGGTGGTGCTACCATCCGATTCACAGGCAGGGCAGCTGAAGACTGAAGTAGACATCCTGCACAAGGGCACGTGGACGTGGAAGAGAGAGCCTGCATCCAGGTCTGCCCAGCATCCAGGGACTGTGTCTCGATGCTGTGCCTCAATGCTGTGCCAGCCTGGCTCCGAGCAGCCAGGAGAGCCCTGCATGGCCACCAGGTTGCTGCCCCTGACTTTAGGTTTGCTCCCTCACAGTTGGGTGACCTGGGCAAGACACTGACAACGTACAATGTTCTGGGCAAAACTTTAGGAACATTTAAATGAGCAGAAATAAGACAGAAAGTATTCCTGTTCTTTATTAATGAGTTGAGATACACACACAAAAAATGTTACATAAATGGCTCAAGCGTCATTGACATCTTCGGGCTTCACTCTCATGTCACGACAATGACCACCTGTTAATACTGGGTAACAGAAGTGAAAATGTGTGCTCACAGGTGCTCCAGAATTCAAGTATCTTTCATCCTCAGTTCGCCTGGCCTGGAGTTTCCAGTGAGCAGCTAATGAGCATGTCTGTGCTCTGGATTTACATGTCTGAGGGGCCTTTGACTTAGAGCTGCCATGTGTTAGTGGGCCATATCTCCTGGCACAATGAGACCAGCCATGGTGGGCTGACCAGGCACTCTCCACAGCAAGTGCCACAGGAAGGTGGGGGGCAAGGTAACCATCCAGGCATCCAGGTATGGCACAGGGGAAGTCAGGGGCTCTAAGAGGGACACAGGATTTTAGAAGGGAATCGGAGAGCACACAGTGGCAAAGGCATAGGTTGAGGAGACTTCAAGAAGGGTGTGCCCAGGGGATGCGAAGGTAACACTCACTACTTAGGAGGTCTGGGAGTCCTGTGGGATCCCAGGAGGTCACCAGAGACTCCAGTCTCCATGGGCTCCTCAGTCATGGAGTAGCTTGGCCAACTGGTTTCCCAGACCTGCCCTGCCAGGTGACCATGGCAAAGAGTATACTAGGACACCCCAGGGTACAAGCCATTCTGGCATACCTGGAAGCAGCCACTGCCATGAGGGCCTATAGTCTCTGAAAAACAAAGAATCATCTTTTAAAGGTGTTATTACTCATCTCACTTAAGGGGGAGACGAGGTCATGTGTGATGAAGGCTGACCACTGGCTCAGCAACAGAGGCTGTAGAAGACTATCTTTAGCTGGTTTTTCCCTGGGGCATTGTGGAGTTAGCCATGGCTGAGGGTGTGACAGACGCCTGGAAGGTGGGGCCAGGGCTGGAGGCCAGAATTGGCTGGAACCCCTTCTTCTGGTTACTTTCATGGCTAAGGGTTTCATTCGGGGTCGACTGATCTGCTTCCAACAAGACTCCCTACTCAGAGCGGTTGGGGGCTGCAGGCTCCATGGCAGGCAGAGGCATGCTGGTCTGTACCCAGCCGCAGTTTTCCTCACCACACACTGCCCTGTGTGCAGGGCTCCACCACTCCCTTGGTGCAAAGCATCTCCATCCTTACTTCTTCCTGCCTGCCTGGCCTCTTTCTCATCTCCAGCTTGCAGCTGCCATCAAACAGCACCAGGGCTACTGTGGACATGGTGGCCCACAGGAGTATAAAGGTTGGAAAGAGTCTTGTCCTATTAGGTTTTAAAATGGGATCTTGGAAGTTCTGAAGTGCCTGATCTGGAATGTTTTTTGTTATCCTTCCCTTTAGGGTCTGCAAGAAAGGGCTATTTAGACAAAAAGGGAGGTCTGATTTCTGACTAACCAAAGTCCCAACAGCTTCACTCTGTAGCAGAATCGCCCTTTGACCAGGCCTTGGATTGTTCATGATCTTTCAAAACTGGAGAAGAATCCATGTCCAGCCGGGGACTCACTCTCTCCAGATTTCTTTCTCCAAACAATGGGCAGGACACTTGCTAGGGATTCTTTAGTCTGCCTAATGGGCTGACTGAAACTGATGGAAAATAAGGTCACTAGCCACGCTGCTTCATCTTTTGACCTCAGCGAGACCATGAGTTCCTGCTGCCCCTCTGCCCCGACCCTGGCCAGAAAATTCCAGTTTTTGGCTCACACCAGCAACACCTGAGAGAGAAGTGGGTATCATTAGGGAATTGGAAGACTGTCGTGGTGCAGAAACAGATGATTGGGAGTCATGTCATCACCCCAACCTTCCTTTCTGCCTTTTATCAAGCATCATAGTTAAGAGTCAAGAGATTAACCAAAGTGTGCTGGGAAAGAAGCTACCACTAAGTCTGCAGATACTTAGAGGGCTTTGATTATGTGCTGGGTTTAAGAAACAGCAGTGAGTTGATTCAAAGGGAAAATGACTTCAGATGTTGGTTTCATATTAATAAGAACAGTATTGGATCACTTTGGTTAAGATTAACATTTGCCAGCTTTCTGGATGGTGTCCACATGAGCTTAGGGTGATGTGAAGAAATGTACTTGCCCATGTCAGTGTCTGTATCAGGCAGCACGGGCCATGTGTGAGAGCAGCAAAGGACAGACAGATCTGAGAAAGCCTTTTGCGTGGCCAGGAAGAACACCAAACTTAACCCATGCTGTCTGACAAATGAACTCTTCTGCAATCAATCAGCTTACTTAAACATTTCCAGAAAAGCCCTATCAGAAGTGACATTCTTATACCAGCTTCTCCCCTTGGCAAAATAAAATTCTGTTTCCTAATCTCTGCGTCCTCAGCCATAGTAAATGCCTTTGGGCAGACATACCTCCTCTCCTCTCTCCAGCTCTCAGGCCAGGACTACGGCCTGTTTCTCTTGAGTCTCCAGCTACATACAGGTCCTACTAACCTCACCTCTTAGTCACTGCACTTTCAGACGGAGCTGAGTTTTGGCACTGCAGGGAGATCTCAGTTAAAACAACAATATTCCAGACACATTACTGAGAGGTCTGCTGAAGACTCAAACCTTCACCAGGTAGTGGGCACAGACCCCTTTAATAAAATAATAACCACTAAAATAATTTAAAAACCTACAAAAGACACCCAAGCTCAGACACTGTGGACTGGGGGTTGGGGAGTGGGACTTGTTCATGGCTTATTTTGTACTTCGTACGTGGATCAGCAATTCCACAACAAACCAAAATACTATGTAGTTCAAAGAAACCACGCAGCCACCCCGAGAGGGAGGAACCAAGTGGAATCAACACCAGGGGCCTGGATGCTGCTTCAGTTTACCCGTCACTTCCTCGTCCTGTGAGAAGCGGGAAAGCTGGTGCCCTCTGGGCCAAGGCAGACCCCTCTCCCCCATGCCCGCCCTCCCTTTCCCCCTTCCTGTGCCAAGTCCTCGGGCCAGGGGTCATGGTTAGAAATGGTTTTCAGTGCGGTTAGGCAGTAGAGGGGGCCCAAGGACTGGCCAGTTCACAATCACTGCGCTCAGAGCTTCAGGCTTGTCACAAAATCACACACTGCAGTTTGTGGGTACCAGTGGCTCGGTCTCCCCGCCATTTGGTCTTCTTCTTCTTCTTCTGGCTTTTTTCCGGAATCTGTTGCCTTTGGAGACAATGAAGAAAAACCTAGTCAGCAAGGGTTTTGCTCCTCCTGTCCCTCTGACACCATGCTGCAGCTGCATTTATTGAAATCATATGCTACATTATGGGTTATAAAGTGCTGACCTCTGTTTCTGGTTTGCATATTTTAAATACAGTGACAGGTTAACTGTGTACAAAAGCCTTTTACATATTTCCTGTTAATTTTTCCTATGTCTAAAGCCTGCCCTGGGAACCACAGGTCCATAACCAAGACACGACCACTTCCTGGTAGCATATCCCAATGGAGGCAAAATAGCCACAAGAAAATCATTTCAGGGGTGCAGGATTGCTAGCTAAACATAAGATGACGGCTGCAATAACACAGTCCATGCTGGGAATGATGAAGAGGTGAGACCGTTCGGCGTGTGTGCATGTGTTCCTGGGAGGCTGGGGGTGATGGGTCAGGAAGGACCCCACCAGAGTTGTCATGTGATTTCATACTAAACGACAGCCTGAGAGTTCACCAGCATAAGGCAACATCCTAAATGCATGGTTTTTGAGAACCATCATTTAGGATGTTCTGTGTGTTGAAGATTTTGGAAATGAGACAGCTGGTTGCCAGGGAACTAGCCAGGAGGCTGTTTCAGACATCAAAGCTAGGGGCAATTAAGGTTTGGGCCCTGAGTGTGCAAAGGAATGTACAAGAAACTGTTATTAGGATTTCTCATAAAGTTTAGAGACTGACAGTGTGTGTGGTCTGGGAAGGAGACACAATGAGCACCTCTCAAACTTGAGCCTGGGGAGTAGAATGTCAGCTGTTCAGGGGAAGTGTCAAAGCATGCTCTGATATCAGGATAGAGAAGAGGACCTGCTTTTCACTGCGCTGACAGCCTCTGTGTTAGAAGGGTAGGATGGGGGGGACTGAGCAGCAGGGGAGGCCAGAGCTGGCGCCTCAGGCAGGCACTTTACCCAAAGGTGGTGGGAGGGGTCTCAGGCTGGCAGCAGGGAAAGAAATGGCGAAATCCAAAGACAGGCCCAGAGTCGCCCAGTCTTGGCCTTGGAGCGGGGAAATGCGTTCCTCTGACTGTCCTGGTGTCTGTCACAGGAGATGGCCCTGTGTGCAGGGAGGTGTGCAGCACTCACCTAATTACTCTAACCAGGTCGTGAAAGGCTTTGTCGACATTGAGAGGTGGGTCCTTGGCACTGGTTTCTATGTACGGAATCTGCAAGACAAAATTTAAGTTGCTAAGAGGGGCCCTGAGGTCCGTGAAGCCCTATTCCCTAAGAATGTATGTTCTCTGTAGGTTCTGAGAACCATGCGGCTTGAACACCCCCCACAGAAGGCTGGGATCCAACAACCTCAAGTCTCTTTGGCAGCTTCTCCCTCTCTAAGGTTGGAAAGTTTAACAAACAGCTTTTGCAATTCCTCTTGTTCTCTAGCCACTGAGATATTTAACAGCCCTCTAAAAATAGAATAAAAAGTGATCTTTTTATATACTTAAAGACGAAAGACTATTCCATTTATCAAACTAAACCATCAAATTAAAACATGTTCTGAGTTTGTTCATTTTTCTTTCTGAGGCTTATTTTTCTGCCTTTGGTTGGGGGAGGCTCTGTCCCGCTTTGCATACCCCAGTGGGGACTCTAGGATTGGGGGGAGCAGGGTGGGGGAGGCTGAGGCTAGGCTGAGCCATGGGCAGGGCCCTCTACCCCTGGCCAGTCCATGCCCTCCATTGCTACCAAGCCTGCCCAGCCCAGCATCTAATTCATCTTCTGCAGGCCCAGGACCTCAGCTTGTTTAGGGAAGGCTTGTGTCTGCACTTGTAATGCTGAGGGGTTACCGCCCAGTTAAAAGACTGGGCAGTAGGACGGGGTGTGAGGCCATGTCCACACCAAGCTTTGGGCTAGCATAGGGAGAACAAAGGCTCCATGACATTGGGACAGCCCTGAGCACAGTCTCCTAAACAGAGACCCCACTAAGGCAGGAAGGGCTAGCCCCTCTCCCTGATGACTAGAGAGAGTGTGGGGTTCATACCACCCACAATAGAACTCCCTAGATGAGACGGGGTTATAAGCCAATTGTGATTAGACTGAACAACTTCATTTTTCATAGCATATCACCAATTATTTTGTTTTAATAACTTGGAAAAGCAAAGCACAGGGCAGAACATTAAAATGATTGACACTTTTAAATGCATAGGGGGATGGGTTATAGGGTACGTTGTTATTTTAGAGGGGCATGTTGCAAACCATTGCCCAGGACACATAATTAAGTCAGTGTCTTCCATCAATTCTCATTGTGAGACATCAGATAATCACACTGTGGCTTCAAGCAGAGATCTTGCCATTGACAACACCACAAAGGGCAAAGCACAAGGGACTGAAACATTTAACAAATATTTGAGCCTCTGATCACAAGAGAGGAAAATGCTATCAAAGGAGGTTGTTCTGTTGTAGGTTGTTCCACTGTGGTGGCTGTGGGCTGTCTGGCCACACAGTGACCCGCAGAGAATCAAGATTTGAACCAGGTTCAAGTTCTACTCCCTGCCAGGCCTCCCACACACAGGTGGGGGTGCTGGGTCAGCTTGGGCACCTCTTCCAGGTGCAGCAGTCACCTCTGACAGTCCCACAGACCCTGTGAGGCTAGGCCAGAGCCCTTCCCTAGGATGTCCAGGAGAAGGTTTACCTCAACCTGCACCTGGCTTCCTGCAGCAGTCCCAGCCGAACCCCTTGTTCCCCCATTGTCTACATTGGCTGCGAGAGAGTGTTCAGCCATGAGTCAGGGCAGGTCACTCCTCACTCAAAACCCTGCAACGGTTTCCCCTCTTGTTCTGAGTAAAAGTCCACAAGTGGTTAAACTGCATTAGTGACCCCACCTGTTGCTATTCACCTCTCCTACTTCTGCTCCACCATTACCTCAAATTCTGACTCAGGACCTTCACACTGATTATTCCCTTACTTCCTACAAGTCCTTGCTGACAGGAACCCTTTCCAGAAAGGCTTTCCCTGACCACTCTATTTGGAAAGGGATCTCCCCTCCCTTCCCGTGAGGTACATTTTTTCATTGCACACGTCACCTTCTGACAGACACACTCTAACTTGCTTTATTTGTTCCCTGTCTCCTGTCACTGGAAGTGAGCAGCACGAGGCAAGGGGTTGTCTCCCAGGACCTAAGACTTTGGGATGAATATGTGAGTGAACACAGAAGGCAGAGAAGTCACTTGAAGTGAGCCCCCTCCTCTACTCACAGAGCTGGGCCCACCCAGTAGGCAGGGTGGATGTCATAATGGACTAGTGAGGTCAGATGCATAGGCCGGGTCAATGTGGGGGAGCAGTGGGAAGAAGCCCATGGAACCCACCCAGCACCATCCAGAGGGTGAAGGGGAACTGAAAACAACATAACTGATATATCACTTTGTGGCCTGGACAAACCTCAGTTTGACCACTTGTAAGACGGGGATAATTAGTGACCTCCGTATGTGGTGAGGAGTAAATGCTTCCAGCACAACGCAGCACAGAGCCGGGCTCTGTGAACAGCAGCAGTCCCAGTGATTCTGAAGACAATGGCTGGCTCAGAGGCAGAGACAAAAGCCACTATGCATGGCCCAGTAATTGGGATAGGGAGCAGGAGGTGCCCTGAAGGCCCTGGCTTGCAGACCGCAGTGAAGGAACCGGGTTTCCCCAGCAGAGCCCCCTAATCTATCATCTTGTTTCATAGGAGATCTCATAAGCTCCACCAGGCCTCTCTGTGAATCTAGCCCACTACCTGGGAGCTCCGGGTTCTTCCACTCCATAGACTGAGATTGCAGGGGTGATGGGGCATCAACTATTATATACCCCCTGGTTCCCCAGCCCTTCCCTACAAACACTCCCCCCGTCCCCACACAAACCTACATTGTGTTTGGTTGCCATTTCCTTTCCTTGCTCCCTGGTGATTTTCCTCAAATGCATCAAATCCACCTTGTTAGCCACAAGGATCATCGGGAAAGACTCCCTAGAAATAAAGAAACAGTTCATGAGGTTTCGCTGTCCTCCACACCTGGTTAATGAGGTGCAGCTTTATGTCAGGCATAGCACAGGCCACGGTGCCTCTGCAGTCAGCCTGGCTGACTTAAGAGCCCCTTCTCTCCAGGAAGGGGCCAGCAGTGGGCCAGCTGGCTGTCTGGATGTAAAGCCATAGGCTTGTTGCAGGTGAGCAGGAGTTCTCCTTGGAAGCCCCTTGCCTAGCATTGTCAGTGAGGGCATTGGTGGGCTGCTGGGCCAGGGATTGGGTTCCCAGACCTGCTTCTTCCCATCCCCTGACACCCTAATTACCAACCATGCAGGGCTGCCATGGCCATCAGCATTGATGCCTGAGGAGCAGCAGGGCCAGGGGAGGGCACACAGCTGGCACTCAATAAATGGTAGCTGTCAATCAGAATGGCCCACAGGAGAGGAAGGTGGGATCAAGAGGCATGTCTGCCTTCAAGAGCCCACCCACATGTGTGCATATTGGCATTCAAAAGTGAACAAAATGTCAGTCCTGAAGCATGATAGCAGAATTGAGTATTTTCATTAAGCGTATAATTTGACAGCTGTATTTAGTTGATTAGCAAGAAGGTTGGATATTTTCCCACATCTAAGCCATTTTTCTTTTGAGATTGCTAGAGTCAGTGGCTTGACCCACATTTATCTCTTCAGCTTTGTGTGTGTGTGTGTGTGTGTGTGTGTGTGAGTTGTGCATCCCTTTATCTGGTAATGTTATTAACACTGCCTTTAGAATAAGTGTTAACTGATTTCTCTGTATTTACTGAGATTTCTTCAAAGCATGCTGTTTTCCTATTAGGTTATCCTTTTACTTTCTTAACATTGCCTCTTTAAGATCCAATTAACTGAAAAGACCAGTTAGGCTTAAAACAGACTCCAAATTATCTAACCACTTATATAATGTGAAAAATAAAAAATAAAAAAATGAACCTTTAATTAGGGGCTTATGAATCTCAATGTCAACACTGAATTAACTAATTGTAAAGTATACTAGAGAGAAAAATTCACTTTTCCTTTAAATGTAATAAAATTTGGTTAACTTGGAGCTGAATAGCAGAGATGTTACTTATGATTCCCTGATTTGTCAATGGGGACACTTTATGAGCATGGGTGCGGAGGGAGAGTGGACCCCTGGAGATCCTGTAAGCAATTTGGCCAGTAGAAAGAACTAGGGCAGATGTTGGAGGAGCCACAGTCTAACTTCAGTTTGTCTGTGCCTTAGTTTTCACCTGAAAACCTGAGGGAGAGAGAGAGAGAGAGAGACTGAGACTCAGCCTGCTCTGAGCCAGGAGGTGCCCCCAGCTGTCCTCACCTGTCCTTGACGCGCAGGATGAGTTGATGGAAGCGGTCCACATGCTCGAAGCTGGCCTTGTCCGTAACCGAGTAGACAATGAGGAAGCCGTCCCCCGTGCGCATGTACTGTTCCCGCATGGCGCTGAACTCCTCCTGCCCAGCAGTATCTAGAACTGGGATGGGATGAGGCCACCAGGGGCTGTCACCATCTACCTTGGAGCCCCTGTGACCTGCAGACCCCATGCTGCAGCTACTATCGCCCCAAAGGCTGCACTAGCTCCCAGGGCTGGGCGCCATGGTTTCAGTGGGGCCTCGGACACCTCAAAGTGGGAGGCTCTAACTGATTCATTTGGGAACACATGGATTCCAACCCATGACACACCTGGGTCTTAATTCTCAGTCCACAGAAAAGCCTTGTAGCCAGTGATTCATTTGCAATATAATTCCCCCGGGGGAGTCCCCAGACTGAGCTTGGATCCTGCTGCAGCCCTTGCAATGAATTTTTGGGGAGGTAATTGATGCTGAGTTCCCATCTCCATCTCTGTAAAACAGAAACAATCCTCTCCCTGGCGGCCCTAGGGAGGAAAATCCCAGGTCCTGTATGGGGAGCCCTGAGAAGGCCATCCCCGTCAGGAGGGTCCTTAGCCCCTGTGTGGACAGACACCACAGAGGTCATGGGGAAGGAGTGGTCCTCAAGAGCCAGGGTCACTTTCCTCCAGGAGAGAGCTATTACAGGGATGGTGGAAGGGGAAGCAAGGGAGACTAGGAGAAGATGGTACGGCAAAGTTCTTCCCCCAACCCAACCACTGGCTCTCACTACCCCCACGCCACAGTCCCCTGAAACCTACTCATTTGGCTTCCTTCCTGCTGAGACAAAATGCTCACCCCTGTTTTAGAGGATACAGTCACAGCTTGGTGTGGGGGGTCTGCATTTAGGTAAAGCCCGACGCCTTGGGGCCCCTGTAGAAGTCCTACAAGGGAAATGAAGCCTGAACTGGTCAGTGGCTAGCAAGCCCCTTCTCACTGCCTGGCCTCTCCCCACTTTCCCGGCCCACTCTGCTCTCCCACCAGACCCACCTTTCCCTCTCCCTGGAGGTGGTAGGGCAGATTTGGGAGTCAGACCACTGGGCTGAGTTTGGCTCATCATTCCCAGAATGTCACCCTAGGTAAGCTCACTTTTCTAAGCTGCCATAAATGGGGAAGAGGTTGTTTCAAGGTTGTTTTAAGTCAATATGCTAAAGTCCTCAGAGCTGTGCTGGCCCAGGAGCATCTGCTGTGAACTTGGGGCATTGTTTCTGACCTGGGCAAGGAACTCCTTCCCCCCAACCACCCCTTCTCCCTGCCACCCCTGCTTGGAGAGCTGACCCACCCACAGTGTTTTGCTGGCGGAGGCCCCAGGGTTCTGCCACCCCCACAAAATCTTTAGCACACCCTTTTTTTTTTTTTTTTTTTTTTTTTTTTTTTAATAGAGGCATGCTTTATTTATTTGTTTGCTGGTTTGTTTGTTTGTTTTGTTTATACAAGCACTGGGTACAGTCCGAAGTGCGGGAGGGAGGGTGAGAGAATTCACCAGAGCCAGAGCGGGGAGCAGAGCAGGCAGAAGGACCGAAGTACACTGCTGAGGGGAGCAGCGGGCGGCAGGAGAGGTCTGCGCGCCATGTGGGACCCTCCTCCGGTGGCCGGGGAGCAGCCGGGGATCGAACCGGCGCTGCAGAGGCCGCGGGCAGCTTCGCAACCCAGCGCTCAACCGCTGCGTCACCGGGGAGGCCCTTTAGCACACCCTTTTTGCTGCTCCTTTAGTTGGGCCCCAGCTGGACTGTCAGCCCCAGAAGTGGGGACCTTGTCTGAATGAATCATCTATGTGCTTGGGGCCTGGTATAAACAGTCTTTGAAGAGTAGTTGAATGAATAAATGAATGTGAAGTCTCTCCAATTTTGTTTATTCATTCATTTAAGAAATATTTGAGGGCTGGCTGGTGAGGCAGTGTTCTAGGCTTATGGATATGTGGTAAAAGAGCCAACATCCTTGCTTTCCTGTGACTTATGACCTAAGATACAGACAGGTAAACAAATATATGGATAATATGATAATATGAGTATGTGCTATGAAGAATAATATAGCCAGTTCATGGTGAGAAGCATCATTTTGGATAGGGAAGGAAGTTATATCTCAGGAGATATTTAAGCAGTGACTAAGTGATGAGAGAGACTGCCATGTGGCAGAGGGGAAGAACATTCCAGGTAGAGGGAACATAGTGATGGTGTGGCGGGCTGGCCTCAGGCCCTGGGGGAGAAGACTGACATGGGAGTGGAAGATGGAGAGGAGGCAGGGATAGGTCACAGGGGGTGGGGAGGGTTCTGCACTGGGTAAGACAAGGAAGACGGGTGGGTCACTGGGGAGTTTGGCCAAGAGTGACATGATCTGGAGGACATTTGAAAATTTTACTCTGGTTGCTGGGAAGACCAAGAGTGGAAGCAAAGCAGCTAAGTTAGGAGTTAAGTGCAATAACCCAGGCAAGACAAGGCAGAAGGTTGGATCAAAGGTGGGTGCTGGGGGAGGGGTGTGCTGTGAGAAGTGACCAGATTCAGGCTACTTGCTAAAACAGCACTGGAGGGAAATATGGGCCAGTGAGAGATGAGAGAGAATGGTGCGGAGGACAATGGCTATTTGGGGCTAAGTCAAATGAATGGTATAGAGAGGTAGACAAATCTGGCTGAAAGCCAAGGTTTTGGGGGCTCAGTTTTTTTTTTTTTTTTAAAGATTTTATTTATTTATACAAGCACTGGGTACAGTCAGAAGCGCGGGAGGGTGAGAGAATTCACCAGAGTCAGAGGGGAGAGCAGAGAGGGCAGAATGATGAAGTACACTGCTGAGAGGAGCAGCGGGCGGCAGGAGAAGTCTGCGCCATGTGGGACCCTCGCCTGGTGGCCGGGGATCCAACCAGCGCTGCAGAGGCTGCGGGGAGCTTTGCAACCCAGACACAGGCTTCAGAATGTCTCAGATGCCTATGTTGGAAGGAACTTCAAGAAGGCATTCAGAGACTTAAGCAAGGAATTGAGGAGGGGGTGGGAGGTACAGACGTGAGAGCTGTTCAGTGTGGGGGGTGGCAAGGAAAGCCGTAGCATGAGCGTCCACGCTGGCCTTACTTTTCCTGGGCAGGTACCTTAGACAGTGCCTGAGAGAGTGATCTTGTCCATATGGCTTGTCATCCCTGCACATCCCCCCAAGCTACTCAGCATGTCAAGGGGCAAGGCATGGCGAACACAGGAGCAGCTGCTGGCTATTCCCCAGGGCCTCAGTCTCCTCCTGTGTGAAATGAGAGGCACGGCTCTTGAACCTTCAGGTCTTTCTCGCTCTGACATCCTAGAATTATTGTATCTGGACATAAAATGAAAGGGCTAAGAAAACTTCATCTCCAGCTGAGGACCATGAGGGACAAAAGCAACTTCCTCATTATTTCCCAGGGAGGGAGGGGCAGGAAGATTGTAGCTTCACCTGAGGGGGGTAAAGCCTTTTTTTTTCCCCCTAAATAAATCCTAATCAAAACTGCAATCAACAAAATGGATAAAATGGCATGGATTTGGCTGGGGATGGGAAGGCCTTAATGGAACAGCAAACATTAAGGTAATATTGTAAATAATATAGTCACAGATTTTGAGTGTGTCTATTACCCAAAACAAAAACTAGATATCTAAGATATTTCAAATTATAAGCATTCAGAATAATTTTTAAAAGCACAATAGGGAGTTGAAAATCAAAATAGGCCCTCTGGAAAGGACAAATAGCCATTTCAGACATTCAGGGTCTTAGAAATTTTATTACCTATGCATTCTTAGAAAATTCCTTGAAAATATATTATAGCAAAGTAAAAATATAGGTCCATAAAAGAGAAAGGTAAATGGTATGAAAACCAAATAGCAAAAATAAGAGTTACAGTTAAATAAACATTGTTACACAATTTAAAGAGAATGAATGATAACTTATGATAACCCATAGAGATTTATTCAATGATAAATCCATGATGATCACATGTGAAGGTAGAGGCTGGGGAAAAGTAACTATTACAATTCTTGCCTCATTTGGGAAGAGGTTAAAAATGTTGATTACATACAAATTCCTGATAGAAAAATAAAATTATATATACTTATGTATATAGCATAATCACTGAAATAGAAATAAATCCCAAAGCTTTTTAATCAATAGGACCAATCCAATGAAAGACAAACACAAAATAAATAACAAGAAAGTTTTAAAAATGGACACGAAATAAGATGGTAGAAATAAATCTATTGACAATAGAAATAAAATAAATGCACCTATTTATAGCAGACACTCAAATTCTGCTACTACAAAAGACATACATAAAACAAAATGACACAGAAAGGATGGAAAATGGAAGAATAAAATGAATACACCAGCAACGTGCATCCACAAAACAGAATTCAAGGTGAATACATCAAACAGGACAAAACAGGGTATTTGCAATGGGAAAAAGTATAAGCACCATGCAGTGAAGAATCATAAGCATCTGCGAATGCTGCCAAAAAAAAAAAAATGTATAAAAAAACTGATTTTTAAAAACAGTAGGAATTAACAAATTCCATAATCACTCTGGGAGAATTAAGCAAGCACCTGTAATGACCATCATTAAAAAATACAATTTAAAATTTTAATCTGAGAGGGAGAACAGACTTTACACTAAGAAAATAAGTATTTTCAAAGACATATAAAACAGTCACCAAAAATGGCTATACATCAAACCATAAATAAAAATTTCAGCAAATTACAGAAAATAGAAAGCAGATGAACCCTCTTTTGCCTATAATGCAATAAGATCACAAAATTAACAGAAACATGAGTATAAAAGAAACTACCCACTTGAAAATTTAGAAAGCTATACTGCTCTATAACTCCCTAGTTAAAGAGAAAAGCAAAGCAGAAATTACAATTTAGGACTGACGGACAATGAACAGTAATAAAACCTTTGGTTTGAGGCCAAAGTAGTACTTAGAGGAAAATTATAGCTTTAAATACACTTCAATAAACAAGAAAGACTGAAAATTAACCAGTCATTTAAATCAAGATGCTAGGAAAAATAAAATAAGACCAAAGAAAGATTACCAATAAACGTAGAAACTAAGAAAACAGAAGGATAAAGTAGCTGGTATCTAAA